TGAAGGCAGCGCAGTGTGACCGAGCGCCCAGAAGATGACTCCAATTATTCTGCCCGACAAACGAGACGAGCAGAGAGAGAGAGAGAGGGGCCGAATAACGAGAACTTAACTTTGGCTAAAACAATCCACTGTACGATGTATCACACACGCTATGGAAGCTGGAGGCTTTGCTTCACCGACAGGACTCTCAAAACACTGACTCCACCACTGCGGCTAGTGCTAAAGTAGAACAGTGTATGTACAAATACTATGCTACGATGCTGACATGCTACGATGCTAACATACTATGATGCTATTATGCTACGATGCTAACATACTATGATGCTATTATGCTACGATGCTAACATACTATGATGCTATTATGCTACGATGCTGACATGCTACGATGCTGACATGCTACGATGCTGACATGCTACGATGCTATTATGCTACGATGCTAACATACTACGATGCTATTATGCTACGAGGCTAACATACTATGATGCTATTATGCTACGATGCTAACATACTACGATGCTCTTATGCTACGATGCTGACATGCTACGATGCTGACATGCTACGATGCTGACATGCTACGATGCTGACATGCTACGATGCTAACATACTATGATGCTATTATGCTACGAGGCTAACATACTATGATGCTATTATGCTACAATGCTAACATACTATGATGCTATTATGCTACGAGGCTAACATACTATGATGCTATTATGCTACAATGCTAACATACTATGATGCTATTATGCTACGATGCTAACATACTATGATGCTATTATGCTACGATGCTAACATACTATGATGCTATTATGCTACGAGGCTAACATACTATGATGCTATTATGCTACGATGCTAACATACTATGATGCTATTATGCTACAAGGCTAACATACTATGATGCTATTATGCTACGAGGCTAACATACTATGATGCTATTATGCTACAATGCTAACATACTATGATGCTATTATGCTACGATGCTAACATACTATGATGCTATTATGCTACGATGCTAACATACTATGATGCTATTATGCTACGATGCTAACATACTATGATGCTAATATGCTACTATATTACTATGCTACTATTATACAATGCGACCCATGCTACTATGTTACTATACTACAATACTCCAATCCAATCCAACTTTATTTATAAAGCACTTTAAAAACAACAGCGTCGACCAAAGTGCTGAACACAACAATGAGGATTACATTAATAAAACAGTAAAAACAAAAGTACAAAACATTCCAAAGTCGAACTTCTCAGGTTGTGTTAAAAGCCAAGGAAAAAAGGTTTTAAGAGAGGTGCAGGGGCAGTGCGTTCCACAGTTTAGGACCAGCAACAGCGAAAGAACGGTCGCCTCTGGTTTTTCTTTTTGTTTTGGGAACAACCAGCAAAGACAGATCTGCTGACCTCAGGGAGCGTGCAGGGGTATAGGGCTGCAACAGGTCAGACAGATACTGAGGAGCAAGACCATGAAGACATTTAAAAACAAATAAAATTATCTTAAACTCAACACGATATGAAATAGGGAGCCAGTGCAGTGACCTCAAAACAGGTGTAATGTGCTCTCGCCTTTTGGTGCCAGTTAAAAGGCGAGCAGCAGCATTTTGTACAAGTTGAAGTCGAGCGAGAGACGACTGATTGAGTCCAAAATAAAGTGCATTACAATAGTCTAAACGATTTGTGATAAAAGCATGAATTAAGATCTCAAATAAATGCTGAGGAACAAATGGTTTTGCTTTGGACAGTTGCCTGAGCTGATAAAAGCTGGACTTTACAACAGATCTGATCTGAACGTCAAGCTTCAGAGCACTGTCCAGCTTCACACCGAGGTTTGTCACAGTTGGTTTTAAGTATTCTTCTAGAGGACCCAAATCCACAAAAGAGGGGGGGGCATCTTTTGGGCCGAGCAGCAAGACCTCAGTCTTTTTGTCATTTAAATGTAGAAAATTTAGTGACAGCCATTCATGAACTTCCTCAATACACTTCAAAAGTTGCTTTTACTCCTATGTTACTATGTTACTATGTTACTATGTTACTATGCTACTATGCTACTATGCTACTATGCTACTATGATCCTCCGTTACGATGCTGTTGTGATTTGGGGCTGTATAAAAAAAGTAAATTGAATAGTGTTAAACATGTTTTTTCTGCTGCTGAGGGTGAACAAAGAGACAATACGACGCATTAGTAAATATAATGCAGCGTTTTACTTATTCTATGTGTTACAATGTGAAATATTATGTTAAGTGGGAAATATGTTGTAAAAAAATAATAATAATATGGCCTGTACAATATCCTTATGCTATTAGTTATTTTTGTGTTTTCCCAAATTTGAAAATTACTGGCTGCAACCACAGCCGAGTGATTGAACGTAATTTCACTGGAGAAAAATGTCACAACTAATTTATGGGAAATACTTTTGTTTTATAAGGCAGAAACTAAACTGGGTATGATGTCATAGTGCTACATTTATAATCATTGAAATTATAATAAACAAAGGCATATGTCACTGTGTAATTAATTTAAATCAGATATTGACAGATTTTAAACCATATTCTAATGGTCAGAGATTCACCTGCTTTAACGTGGATGGATCTAAAAACAACTCCTGTTATTTACATAATATACATGTGTGTGTCTGTGTGTGTGTGTGTGTGTGCGCGTGTCTCTCTGTAAGTGTTTGTGTCGCTATCTCTGTATGTGTGTGTGTGTCTCTCTCTGTTGGTGTTTGACTCTGTGAGTGTGTCCCTATCCTTGTGTGTCTCTCTGTTTGAGTGTGTCTCTGTCCCTGTGTGTGTGTGTGTCTCTGTCCCTGTGTGTGTGTGTGTCTCTCTCTCTGCCCTTCTGTGTGTGTCTCTCTCTCTCTGCCCTTCTGTGCGTGTCTCTCTCTCTCTGCCCTTCTGTGTGTGTCTCTCTCTCTCTGCCCTTCGGTGTGTGTCTCTCTCTCTCTCTCTGCCCTTCTGTGTGTGTCTCTCTGTTAGTGTTTGTGTGCGTGTCTCTGTCCCTATGTGTTTGTCTCTGTGTGTCCCTCTCTCTGTCCCTGTGTGTGTGTCTTTCTGTTAGTGTTTGTGTGTGTCCCTCTCTCTGTCTTTCTGTGTGTGTGTGTCTGTGTGTGTGTCTCTCTGTCCCTCTGTGTGTGTCTCTCTGTTAGTGTTTGTGTGTGTCTCTCTGTTAGTGTTTGTGTGCGTGTCTGTGTGTGTCTCCCTCTCTAGTTTGTCTAAAGCTCTTCTTGTGTCCATCAGTCTGAAAGCATGTGCTGTACTGCCCTCTGGTGGCGACGCTGCGCAACTACACCCTTCATCAAAAGTCATGAAAGTCAAACTACTGCCAAGGCCTCTCACATGAGGTTTAGAATGTGCATATTTTTGACTAAGGATCAAAATAACACAAACAATAATATATTTTATCTAGACAGAGATTCTTTCCTTGCGTCAGTGTGTGTTTGGAGCTGGCTCATCTCGGTTTGTGGTCGATTTGGTGATTGGGGAAATCAGTCATGCAGATAATCTGGAGTACAGCAGTGACGCACGGAGCTCCACACAGTCACTATCGAGCGATCAGACCATAGGGGGCAAAGGGGGGAGAGGGGTGAGGTGAGGGGGTGAGGGGGGCGGGGCAGGACGGCTATATCGGGACCCCTGTCACTGACACTTTCTACCCTTTTGAGTTTCCCGACCTCACTTGACATTCTCTGTGTTTATCATTTGTTTTTAAAGTCTTGAAGAGAGACAGTGCTGGTTTTAGTCCTGAATGTGAAACTAGAGGAGAACTCAAGAGCAGGACTGTGAAAACAAGGCTAGATTAATTAATAAACAAAAGTTAAAAATAACAAAAACAGTAATTACTTTTGATTGCTCTGGAAACAGCAGCTAGTCCTAAGTCGCTCTGACACAGCTGTTTTGTTTCATTCAGGATTTCACTCTGAACAGGGATTAATAAAGTATTTATCTATCTATCTAGATTAGATTCAACTTTTTTATCTTTACAATACAACAAATTGCAGTTTAGCATCTACCCGGTCATGCAGAAGCTAAAGTATAGGATAAAATTTACAACAGATAATAATATTTACAATAGATAAATACATATACACGAGACTGCACAAAGCTGCTATTGCTAGTATATACTTTGATTATAGTGTATTTACAGAAATCACAAAAGTCCGGGAGCAAGAAGAGTGTTTTCTATACAAGTCTGATTCCTGATTGAAGCCAAATGTAACACACACACATGGACAGACAGGAAACTGAACGAACAGGAAGTACAACTCAAAAGCACTAATATATCATAAAACCAGGTAAAACAGACCAGACCTTGACAGTTCCTCTGCGTCTGTACTTATCCCACACACACATTATACACTAATATCCTCGGCCAAAACATAAGACAACTACTGAGTTCATGTAACCGTCCAAAATAAAGTGTAAAAGTGAGTTAAGTTCTTGTGCATCCTCCAACAACAACAACAACAACAACAACAAAAATTCAGGACCAATTGGAACTCTTTTTTAAAACATTTTAAAAGGTTATTCAGGATTTATGTGTTCTGCTTCTTTACTACAGGCCCCTAAATGTGGTTTTATCTTGTATATTAGAGGTGGGAATTATTGCGATTCTTAACATATCGCGATACAGACAGTATTGCGATTCGATTCTGCGATATATCGTGATTCATTTCCCTATTTTAGAAGAAGAAGAAGACAATCCTTTATTTGTCCCACAGTGGAGAAATGTCATTGTGGTCAATTCAATATTATCGCGATTCTTAACATATCGTGATACAGACAGTATTGCGGTTTGATTCTGCGATATATCATAATTTATGTCCCTATTTTTCCTACGCCACTATTACTATCATATGTGACGTGGAAAAAAATGTAAACGAATGAAAACAAAGTAATAAAGAATCAAAGGGGGCGGAGTTATGGCTACAGGGACTGAAGGAGAAGCTACCAGACTTCTGTGACTTCAGAGACTTCAGATGAACCATGAGGGTCACAGAGGTCCATGTTGTAGAAAAGGCTGTGTCCCCTTTAACAGTTCCTGCTCCACATGCAGCCAGATGCAGCCAGACGGATGTAGGCCAAACTGACCCACATGTCTGTCCCACAATCCATGCATCGATCTTCATCACACTTTTCAAACGCACACTGAGCAGTCTTCACACCGATCAGTCATCACACCGAGCAGTCATCACACCGAGCAGTCTTCACGCCGATCAGTCTTCACACCGACCAGTCTTCACACCGACCAGTCTTCACACCGAGCAGTCTTCACGCCGATCAGTCTTCACACTGACCAGTCTTCACACCGACCAGTCTTCACACCGACCAGTCTTCACACCGAGCAGTCTTCACGCCGAGCAGTCTTCACGCCGAGCAGTCTTCACGCCGATCAGTCTTCACACCGAGCAGTCTTCACGCCGATCAGTCTTCACACCAAGCAGCCTTCACACCGACCAGTCTTCACACCGACCAGTCTTCACACCAAACAGGCTTCACACCGAACAGGCTTCACACCGATCAGTCTTCACACCGATCAGTCTTCACACCGAGCAGCCTTCACACCGACCAGTCTTCACACCGACCAGTCTTCACACCGACCAGTCTTCACACCGAGCAGTCTTCACACCGAACAGTCTTCACACCGAACAGTCTTCACACCGAGCAGTCTTCACACCGAGCAGTCTTCACACCTACTAGTCTTCACACCGATCAGTCTTCACGCTAGGCTTGGTCAGGACCAGAGTTCGAGGATTTACCCATTGTGCATGTTTTTAGTAGTGGGGGAAACCCAGTAGCCTGACTCTCTCCAGACCCTTGTAGTTCCGCCATGCTCCACCGGAGGCGTTTCGCTTCACACACAAAGGTTTGGGATCGAGAGCATTGCAAACTCCTTCAGCAGATAAGAAAATAATCGGCCAATCAGGATCGCCGGTGTTATGTCGGGTTTGCACGGCCTTCTCAAGCGTGTCTCACACGGCAGAGAAAGCAATCCAAGATGGCAAACATGAAGTCCGTGAATTTTTAAAAAAGTTTAAAGACGAACATGTTGATGTTTATATGTTGATGGTTCTAAGTTGATGGTTCCATGTTGATGGTTCTAAGTTGATGGTCATATGTTGATGGTTCCATGTTGATGGTTCCATGTTGATGGTTATATGTTGATGGTTCCATGTTGATGGTTATATGTTGATGGTTCTAAGTTGATGGTTCCATGTTGATGGTTCTATGTTGATGGTTCTAAGTTGATGGTTATATGCATGGGTTAAAGTTGAAAAAATTCCTGAGCCTGAACCATCTATATGAATCATAGAATGATCACTAATAAGCGTTTTTTATAAGCGCCTTTATACGCTCATACATATAATTTATATCTATTTATTGCCAACAACTGATGTTTATTATAAACATCAGTTGTTGGCAATAAATACATCATCTGACTATTGAATTGTTACTTAAATGTAAAGCCTCACCTTGCCAAGACCTTTCTGCAAGTACCCCTAGTTTGGATTTGTGTGATAATGTAAAAAAAAAAAAAACATACCACATCACAGTAAGTGAATATACTATTTTCTTTTTTTTAATTATTATTGATGTTATTACTAACATTTTATGTGTAAACTGTAAACTGATTAAACATCCAAACTAGACATCAGATATGACATACAAAAACTAAAAACACTGGATCAGGCAACAAGAACACTTCCAGATTCAACCTTAAATATATAAATAAACCTTAACTTTTAAATTCTACTTATTAAACATTTAGCTTTCAACACAAATAAATGAAACTAAAGTGCAAATGAGCTTTGTGCTGTGTGTCTTCATAAAGCACCTGTGTTAACTTTCAATAGACTTTGATTTGGTAAAACATTACAAAACAAAACAAATGCTAACAGTACTGTTTGAAATATTCATTTCTTTTTCTTTTGTTTAGGGTGTGAATTATCTGTATGCTTTCTTTTTAACATGTTGGGCGGAGGGTTTAATGAGGAGGCTACTTTGTCTGAACAATTAAATAGAGGGAAAAAAACCGCATGGTCCAGAGGAGGAAGCAGCTGGTGCAGAGGAGAGTTGTCTGGCTGGTCCAGAGGAGGAGGCAGCTGGTGCAGAGGAGAGTTGTCTGGCTGGTGCGGTGGGGCTGCAGCCTTTTTTATCATCTCCTCTGGACCAGCCAGACAACTCTCCTCTGCACCAGCTGCCTCCTCCTCTGGACCAGCCAGACAACTCTCCTCTGCACCAGCTGCCTCCTCCTCTGGACCAGCCAGACAACTCTCCTCTGCACCAGCTGCCTCCTCCTCTGGACCAGCCAGACAACTCTCCTCTGCACCAGCTGCCTCCTCCTCTGGACCAGCCAGACAACTCTCCTCTGCACCAGCTGCCTCCTCCTCTGGACCAGCCAGACAACTCTCCTCTGCACCAGCTGCCTCCTCCTCTGGACCAGCCAGACAACTCTCCTCTGCACCAGCTGCCTCCTCCTCTGGACCAGCCAGACAACTCTCCTCTGCACCAGCTGCCTCCTCCTCTGGACCAGCCAGACAACTCTCCTCTGCACCAGCTGCCTCCTCCTCTGGACCAGCCAGACAACTCTCCTCTGCACCAGCTGCCTCCTCCTCTGGACCATGCGGTTTTTTCCCTCTATTTAATTGTTCAGACAAAGTAGCCTCCTCATTAAACCCTCCGCCCAACATGTTAAAAAGGACATTCAAAATTCTGTCCACATTTGTTTGTGGACACTCGATGTTTAAGAAAAAGGTTTCCCTATCAACTTGGTGCTAGTGCACAGCGCAGTTTTATCAACTGCAAATGATTAATGATAATTAAATCTACCAGCGGTAGTGATGGTTCTGAACGACAGGTTATTTTCTGCGATAAAGCCACAGATAGTTTTAGGTCACAGACACAGTCCACCAGAGCAAGCCTAGTCTCAGTTGTCGCTGAATCTGATGCACCAGGTAAAGAAGTGTGGGAAAGTGCACGGACAGCTGCCAAGTGCGCAGTTTTGAGCTGGTGGTGAATCCAAAGCTGTTTTCTCATTACTCCCATATAAAAAAATAATAATAGCGAAGTACGAACAAGCACCGGACACCTTCATCTTTTTGCACCAGGAAGCAACAGAATCCCATCATCTCCACCTCATCCAGCCATGCCCACCTCCATTTATTTTTCACTCCGTTATCAACAGCAACTTATACAGCTCCTTCTTCCATAAACAACGATCCATGATTGTGATTGTGCGTGAATGCTAGGCTAGCTTTGATGAATGAATATAAGACCTGCTAACACACACCTTTCTTCAGCGAGTTTCTTCCGTTCGCTCTCGTTGATTTGCTTTTTTATCACGCAGTTTTGCATGGGGATCGCCACCAAGATATTATCAAAAGCTCACCAAGACATGCTTGTCCCCATTCCCAGTCACAGCAAAGTACATATTGTACATTCCGTTAAATAAAAAAGCATTGCGTTTGGTAAACGTTAATTATGTCCTACCTTTCCTCTGATAACGCGCCCAGCTTACCGGTCCGCGGGCTGCTGGCTGTTATTGCTCCGTTCGGGATTACATTTTCCTTGTCCTCTTCTCCTTTTCAAAAGCTCCGTGCACTTTTCAGAAACTTTCACCTCCGTGTTACCATCGCTAACTTGGCTACGTCCCATTGCCTTGAATCATTTACGGAGCGCTCATGTAGCTAGCCACGGCACGTTCAAGGCCCACTCGTTACTTTTTATTTCTATATACATATAAATACAATTATATTCAAATTATTAATATATATCTAGATATATACAACAGATTCACACGTATTACTATATATTTTGTTATAATTAACCATTTCATTGTGTGTATTATATTATTATTATATATTTTGTTTTTTTTTCAGACCAATTTCATTTGACGGAAATCCGTCACTTAGACGGAACTCTTTAATCCCTGCGCTATACACATGCAATCCTTTCTTAGAATTGGTAGAACACACTTGAACCTTTTTTCAAATGACAGCAATCATTATTTATTTATATATATATTAAAAAAAAAAAAAAAGTGATTTTGTTTTTTTTTTTTCTCACGCCGGATTTCCGGCACGGTGCCGGAAAACTTTAAGCCCTGTATATGTTGATGGTTCCATGTTGTAATGTGTGTTTTAAGAGTCAAATGTTTGTGTAAAGTTTGGTTGAAGCACTGGTTCAGTGTTCCTGTTTACACACTATGCAGCGGGGTTGCCAGGTTGGGTGGTTTCCCGCATACTTTGTTCCAAGAGACTTGTTGGTAATAAATAAACAGAAAGACAATAAACAGAATCATGATAGTCTAAGTTTATTACATTAAGTTTTTAGTTAAAAAATCATTCTGGGTGTTTTTCTTTGGGCATTCTCGCAAAAAACAGGTGGTTATAAAAGCTTTTTACTGTCTTTTCTTTCTGAGTAAACTTCATTCAACACAAACTGTAAGATTCCTTTATCGCTGCAGCATTGAGAGTTTGGAAGACCAGAAAGAGGCCAGGGAGAGACCAGAGAGAGAGACCAGAGACAGACCAGAGAGAGAGACCAGAGACAGACCAGAGAGGGAGACCAGAGAGAGAGACCAGAGACAGACCAGAGAGAGAGACCAGAGACAGACCAGAGAGGGAGACCAGAGAGGGAGACCAGAGAGGGAGACCAGAGAGAGAGACCAGAGACAGACCAGAGAGAGAGACCAGAGACAGACCAGAGAGAGAGACCAGAGACAGACCAGAGAGGGAGACCAGAGAGGGAGACCAGAGAGAGACCAGAGACAGGCCAGAGAGAGAGACCAGAGAGAGACCAGAGAGATCAGAAAGAGCAGAGAGTACACAGAGAGAGACAGTTGAGAGACCAGAGAGAGAGACTAGAAAGACCAGAGAGGGACCAGAAAGAGACCAGAGAGAGACAGACCAGAGAGAGAGAGACCAGAGGAAGATCAGAGAGAGACAAGAGAGAGACAGAGAGAGATCAGAGAGATCAGAAAGCTTTTTAGCTTGTTTTATTAATGCACTTGTCTGGGTCACACTGGGGACTCTTGCACATGTATTCCAACGTGGTTTTACTGCAAACGGCCCAAAAATTAAACCTGAATCTGCAAATTGAAACTTTTCTTTAACATTTTGTCACAAACTGATGCAAAACTACCACTGCAATAATAACTGAGTCTGTGGAGAGGCCTGCGGTGGAGAGAAGGGGCCGTTTGTGGTGTGTCATTATCGTTCCTCCAGCCCCTCCCCTTACTCTGTTTTTACTCTCCTCTGATTATCTCCAGTCTGCAGACGCCACCGCAGATCTGTGACCAACCGCCTCAGCCCTCAGTCCATCAGCCGAGCTCCCACAGGGCAAAGACAGGCCTACACCACAGGGGAGCTAGCATACAGCTGTTAGCATACCGCTATTATCATATGGCTCTTAGGATACAGTTGTTAGCATACGGCTGTTAGCATATGGCTGTTAGGATACGGCATGGATCTATTATAATAACTGGATAGGGTGTTACTAGCTTGTAGCTGAATAACTCATGTGCTCGGGGGATTCTCGCGGTACTGCAGACTGAACCAGACTGAACCAGACTAAATTCACGTGGGCTACCCAGAAATTTTCCCCATAGAACTCAATGCATATTAAAACAGCTTGACCTCAGCTGACAGAGAACCTGACAGAGAACCTGACAGAGAACCTACAGCTTTCATAAAGGTCGG